AGGATTCTCTAAGTCTAATCAAGGGAATGATGCTGGGGAGAAGTCGGTGATTACATCTTTTCGCACCATAGTGGTCTAGGAATTTTCGAAAATCGGAAATAGCATGTCACAGAGAAAGGATGAATGAAGACATTTTGGGACTTGAAACTTTAACTTTATTTGCAAAATATGTCGATTTTGGTCTCTTCTACAAGCTATTAATTTTTGACACACTTACATGTTACACCCTCTACAATACTCGATATAAGTGGGCACTTACGATACTAAGCAATCGGTGTTTAGAACTTCCTGCACATACATAACTAAACCATTACTTACCTTTACGGTTATTGGGTAGTTTTAAACTGTTATTTTCCAAATGATCAATAATGTGTAGCAGAAGAGGTTTCTATGATACGACAAAAGTTCAATGTTTCAGTTGCCTTGTAATTCAAGTGAACTTAACCTACATTCCTGCAGTCGACTCTGTTATGAAAATTAAGGAAATTTATCCTGTTTGCTACATTCCACGGCCATAATTGCAGATTAATTTGTTATATGGTAAAAAGTGTCCAATTTAAAATTGAAGCACCTTTGTTGGAGTTTACGGTACAGTTGATTATTACAGAACGGTACAGTTTAAAGGATCATTTAAGACCATAATGAATTTTTTATCGTCCAAATTTCTGCGTTATCTCTTCGAAGTATCAAGAAGTAGGAGACGAAGTGTGAGAAAAATATACCGAGTGCGACTAATGATGATTAATTCTGTTCGGGAACAATTTACTTTCAAAGAAAACTAAAACGGTGGTATCTTGCAGGCTAGCAGGTCATCGTTACACTCGATTACAAGCAATAAGGTTCAATAACCGTACATTTACTGTTTTCTATAAACATTTACCTACTCTAAAGCTAAGCAACGCAAAGCGATAGCGCTTATATTTATCATATCACCAAACTTTTATACCAGGGCGTAATTTAAAACAACGCAGTGGAAGGAATTTCTTTTCTGAATGTGCGATTTTTTGCCTAATTAATTTATTAGATTACTCATATGGAAAATGAACGTTAATCCTACTTTCCATTAAATCATATATACAAAACTGAATGCTGGAATAAACTGAATCATTTCTAAGCTTTCGCTACACATCTGTTGAAAAGAATCCATCTGTTGGATAAATCATAGGCATAGAAATGTATGATTCATGTTCTTTATCGGAGAGTTGGTGGGTAAAATTGACTTAAACTACCTTAATAAGACTATAACGGCTCAACACGCTTTTTTATATTCCTTTAGAGTGTATTTTTATGAAGAATATAGTGTAAATATACTACATACTAAGAATCTTTGGAAAAACTCAGAAAAGCTTGACGTATATCGTAAAAGGTAAAACCAATGATTTTTTAACACTATTATTAATTGAAGAATTTCAGCAACTTATTTTGTCATTTGCTAAAGGAAATTGTGCTGGTAGTGACATTTTCGCACCTCCCGCTTCGTTATATAATCTTTCATTTTTGTACAACTATCACTAACTTATTTCGTGGAAATGATGCCTGTTAAGAAAATGTCTCGTGGTTTAACACTTACTGACCGAGAACTGCCTTGAGTAAAAGCCCATGACAGCATATGCGCGTGGGTGATCTCTAAATGATAGCAAATGACCTTTAGTTTGGTTGCAAAAAATATTCATAGGTTTTACTTTAGCTACAATTACAGGAAATTGCATTGTAGGTTATACAGAGTGGCCAAATTTGGTTAGTATGGGGTAAATCTTAAACTATAATTGATCTCGCAGTCATCACACCCATCACGCTAAAATTGCTTAAATTATTTATCTAAGCTTCTTTACGCTTTATTTATGGTTGTATCCTTTTGGGGGTAAATTTATTTTCATAAGATATTTATTTGTTAACACGTTTCTTTTTAGGTTATCTGGTTATGCCATGTGTTTTAATTTAATTACCTTCTTTCACCTATATTGCAGTCAGAAATCCATCTATTAATGGGGTACGTAAGTTTGAAGTAATTGAAGTTTAGGTATGATTTTAACATTGTATTTTTTGGGTGTATTTTTTGTACGTTACGAGCATCAATGTGGTCATGACCCCCTTGCCGTTTATCTTTGCTATTGCTGTGACGAATTGCTCTGCAATTAATAGCTTGAATTCAAAAGTGGTTGTTTGTGGTTGTTTTTAAATACCCACAAGTGCCCGAGGATGCACACAGCTTGTATTCTTATTTTATTCGTAGTTGATATTTTTTATTTACTTTTTGGCGTGACTTGTACACGCCTGGTGCTCAAAATTACGTGAGCTTTATCAAACCCCGGTGGCTGTTTCACCGGAAGACCCGTTACCCCTGGCTAGCCGTGGCCAATTCACTTTTCCTTCTCGAGGTTGGCTGCAAGTTTTGATGTAGGTACTTTTTTTGAGATAAACTCGATGTTAAAAACCAAACCGACCTACAGTTTTTTGTTTTTGAGTTATGGGCCTTGTTGCCTTTTAGCAATTGAACTCGAAAAACTGTCAACCTAAAAATTGCTAGGCAACAGATTTTCATTACATAAACCTTTATTAAAAAAAACCGTGGAGAACAAAATCTTAACTATTAAAAAAAACAAAGAAAATGGTTTTATTAATAATTGCTGTATGACCAATACGAACCGAGTTGCGGCTTGTTAAAGGTCAAATAATGGCAAAACTATGCATTTTTCGAGAAAAACTTGAAGAATATTTTTTAAAGTATTAAAAAAAACCTTTCTTCTTTTTTTAAAAACTAACTTTAGTAAGTAAGTGAGTTACGATGTAAATAAGGTAGATCCGTACTTTTTCAGCAAAAAAAATCAGCACAAGCAACCCCTTAATTACCACCTTAATTAAAATTAGTCCCTCTCCTTTTCCAGTTTTCTGGAATATTATTAATACATTCTAGAAGTGTGACCAGTTTATAATAGTAATAACGAATTTCTGCAATTTTGTGAAAAACGTCCTTCTCTACAAAGCAATAAAACAACTGGAGATACTTAAAAAATGCTACAGCATCCAATTGTAGCTTTTTTTTAATTCCAAACAGATATAGATGGTTAATACGTGTATTTATATGCGAGCACTACCTTGTTTTGGCCCTTTAATCTCATCCCATTTTAAAATACTACGGGTTTTCAATGGATTTGATGTAAATAGCCTTGCAGCTCTTGTAAAAACCTACAAAATGGTTTTTTAATGAACTTTCTATCATAAAAATAAAGGAGTTATTAAAAAACGAACTACAATTTTTTCGAAAAATTCTGAAAGCTCAAATCGTAGCATGATGATCTCCACGACCGGTATATATTTCGTATACTATACGACTATACCACAGATCTACACATACACAGATTGCTAACCTTATGCATTTTTTGGGAAACAAATTTAGGTATACTTAAAAGCGCCCTCTATTGCGGAGCAGTATAAACATGTACCGTTTAAAACTGTAATATGACGCTTATGGATTTATGCATTAGATGTCGCTGCAAAAAAATTGAAGCGGTAAAGTGTGCATAATTCGAATTCGTTACTCGTTATTTTTAGCATTTGATATTTGTAATCGGTGAATTTATTTTGTGATTTGTTTCGGACTAGTTGTTTCAGTTTGTTATTGTTTAAATTAATTTTGTTTCAACGACATCTAAAGCATAAATCCATAAGCGTCATATTACAGTTTTAAACGTTACATGTTTATACTGCTCCGCCATAGAGGGCGCTTTTAAGTATACCTAAATTTGTTTCCCAAAAAATGCATAAGGTTAGCAATCTGTGTATGTGTAGAGCTGTGACTATACATTAGAAACTTACATACACACTTATATATTCATTTCATATACCTATACACTATGTAATGTATATTCAGGACAAAGGAATATGACCACTTTGAAATCTGAATTTTAATTAAACGAACAAAATAGAACCATTGGTTACATTCAAATGAAGAGTGTTAAAGTTAGTTTTTATCCACTAGAAAATAGGTTCACAGATGTTCAATATAACCCCACTCGAGATATATCGATACGAGTATACGTGCGCGGCTGCCCGACACAAACATCCTTCTCTATGAACTGTTTAATGTTAATATTAACGTTTTTAACGTTTGATAAACAATCTATCAGGAGGTTGAGCACCATACTTTCTTGAAATGCACACTGAACAACTATCGTCAATAATAAATTATTAACTTTTTGAGAGTAAATTTTTTTTATTAAACCAAAATAAGAGTTGATTAAGGGTGGAAATATTCTGAAAGAATGTTCCAAAGCCTCTAACAGTCAGTACTCAACTTATCTGAACCAAATTTTTCTCACCTTAAGCTTTAATATGTAGTTTTATGGGTTTTGGAAAAAAGGGGTAGTTTTCACCGCTAAAAATAAAGAGCGCCCATTGGCTATAGATTTTGAAGTGGAGGGTAAGTTGATTTCATGCAAATCGATGGACTTTGAAAAAATTGCCAGGTTTTATACTATTTTAAGTTTCGTTTCCTGGACTAATAGAGTAGATTAACCAATATCTTGGATTAACTCACATTCTTCGTCCAATGGAAAGCATTCAAAGGCCGTAGTCTGAAATCATAAATTTCTTTCACAACGTGACGCAACCACCACCTATCGATTGTTAAACGTAGTACTGAGAAATCTGTAGGTACAGATTGCAGGTTCATTGCAAGCTTCTGTTGAAAGCAATCGTCACAGATGTAGGTAGACCATTTTAATAGAACTATATTAATTTTTTTTTAAATTGTTTATTTACTAGTTATTAAAATGTGTAACTCCACAATCCATATAAATTTTAATCCACAAATGACTATTTTGATGTTTTCTAGCGCCTGGTTATATGCTTCACACATAGCAACAGGGTGCAATGTGTGTTGCTTGTAATTTAGGGGAGACTTATCCAAATTTACAGGTAGTAACCGATACATTATTAAATGCTAGATGCCGCCACATACCGAAATAACAGAATTTAATTTTTTTACTACTGCAAAATGGTGGACTGTCATGGTCGCACGTATATAGGGCGGGGAGTTTTCCTCTAAATTGCGATCTAATTAAGAGTAATTAATGAGAAAATTAAAATAAACCTCACACCATTTGATGCGTCCTATGCGTGCGGAATAAAAGTAATGTGGCAAACGTAAGTGAATTTAAATTGTGAACGGAACTTTAATGTAAATGTTTTGTGCTATATGTGACAGCAGCAATCAAAGGTAAACAATACGTTTTTTGTCTCTCTTCCACTCGTAATTTTGGCACTTCGAAGTGCTCGGTCATAAACAGTGGGAGGGTCGAGCTTTGTATTTGATTGAAATTGGCGGCGCTAAGGGAAGTTGGTCTTAATTTTTGTACATTAGGAATAGTGGTTTTTAGTTTAGGGGGGTAAATCGATGGACGGGGGTGTATTTCTCACTCTAAAGGCGCAGGTTCCAATCTCGAACACGTTGAAGTATGGGAGGTCCTTGTGTTCTTTTTGGTAATTGCACTTCAAAATTAACATCGGACAGCTCTTTGTCTGAAACTTTAGATCCATTTTAATCTCACTGCCTTTATAAATTAATTTTCAAATGCTTGAGTAAATAATACGTTGGTAATTGAATATCCCTACTATCCCTTCAAAAGCTTTCCCTTAATCCTGTTACCATAAACTTTCAGGAGGGTCTATTAAATTTCAAACTATTCAACATCATCGATCTTACTTTTATTGTTGAGATCGTCTACCGACAAACACGTTGAAGGTTGAATTGAAATTTTATTCACGACCTTGCCTTCCTCTAATTAGCGAAAAAACACTTAAATATATTCCGTATTTGTTGCTCTCGTTGTCGAAAACGTTAAATGGTTGGAAGCAAACATTCTATAATACAACACCTCCGTGGTCATCAAGCCCCCGTGGTCATTAGTGTTAGTCCAACTGAAATTTTCCTCAAATTGGTGAACTTTAATGTTTATTAAGGGTTATTTAATGTACCACATGCTTGGTAAATGCAAAATAGGGTTGGGTAATTAATTTTCACAGATACAGTGAATGGTAATTAACAACCGACTCGAAAAGGGGAGAGTAAAACATTCTCATACTAATTACCTGTCATTAAGAATTACGCATCTGGTGTTTTAGAGTATGGCTTGTCTGCTGAAAAGTGAGCGCAATTAAAGAGTGTTTCTCATCGTAAGTTGCTGCAGGTTAAAAATTGCAGGCGGAGTCGCGCATGTAGGTAATTGCATTAGGACCGTTGCTATTGATGGCGAACGAGAATGATTTAATAAAAAATTGAAAGTCTAGTTGTAGGGTATGATCGCGGCAGTCAAAGAGAAAAAGTTCTCGAAAAAGTAGATTAGACCTAGGACCTATCATTGACTCGATACAGACTATAATGGCAGCAAGTTTCCATGTCTGAATTAACGGAGTTGCCATTTCACTTGCACCCCATAGATTCTTGAAATCTGTTAATTATCTACGTAATCTGTGCCTACTTTCAAATTTTAGACGTTTTGGAAGAGCCCACGATCAATGGAATAGAAAGAAACCACTTCTGCATTCCGAACCTAATACAGGAAAGTAATCAGACACGCGGTTTTGCCAATAGAGCGTGACAGTTAAGGCCTGTGGATGCAAAACAGGCTGGTTACATTATCTGATGAAATTTCCGTTTAGTCTCAGGTTTAGTTGACTTGGTGCTGATAAGTAGGTACACGTTTAAGCAATCGTGAAATGTTGACAGTTAGCACTATGTCGCATTTCAAAGACGTTATGTATCCAATATTTCCAAGGTGTAAGTATCATCAATCAAAAATTTTCCATTCGCTGTACGCCTCGCTGTACGCTTTATCGTCGATTCTAAAGCTATTCACTCGGCTATTCATAAACTTTAAACTTTTTCTGTTACGTTTTCGGTTACTTACTCAGTTATTCTGTTACAAAAAATAATAACAAGTATAAATTGTGCACAACTATTATGCAGATAAAGCGCATTTTTTAAACCGAAATAGCTTAGTAAATGGCTGGGTTACAGGCAGTAGCATGCTATGGATGTTACTTTCTTGCTAGATGATTAATGGGGAGGAGGCTCTTTACACATAAAGATTTAAAGGCCGCCTGGCATACATTCAAAATCCTTTGACACTATTCTGCAGTTCCAACATCGATGCCTAAGTGATTATTACTGAAGTTCGCGTTCGTGTGTTATAAATTTGCGTATTATACATTTGTGTACTTTGGTAGACGATATTCACTACAAATCAGTCTTCAATTCGTTTTGATTCACCATATCATCCCCTACATTTTATATACTTAGGTATTGAAAATTCTGCATGCCACAGTTTTAAGGATGTCTAGTTTGGTTTAAAGTAGAGGTATATGTGACGTATACGAAATAATCTGATTTTCTAATGAGTTAAATTATTTTTTTATTGTTAGACCCAGTCACTACCTCAATTTAACCCTAACGCCCTAACTCTTTGACTACGTGTACACCTACAAAGCTTACTATATAGTGTGGGCCTTTGAAAAATTACAATGACTATATTTTTTTTTACTAAAGAGTGATATCAAAAAATTAAAAAAATTCCGTTTCTTTAAAAACCAGGAGAAATCTAAATGACTTAGATACTTTTTAAATTATCCCCACCACCCATACTCTAAATCTTAAATTAAAGTAAGTACCGTACTTGTGATACCTTTCTGGAAGCTAATTAAACATGCTTCTCACTTGTCATAAAAAAAAGTAGGGTGAACTCAAAAACTAACCTTTTTTTGTAATGTACGGGTACTATTTTCCATCTCTCGCTGTTTATTTTTAAAAATAGATTATAGCGTGGAACAAACAATTGAAATTATTTGAAAATACCCCATTTGGATTCTCCCTATCTTTTACAACAATCGCATTTATCATTTTATTGATATCTCTATTCGTGCAAAAATTACAGGCATTGTACGTTTTCCAAGACTTCTTAGTTTTTAATTTGACCCTATTTTTTAATGCCCGTGAAAAACATGTTTAATAAGCTTTTCAGAGAGCTATCACAAGTGGGGTATTTTAATTTCAGATTTTTACGTCAGTATGGGTTGTGCTTAAGGTGGTGGGGGTAATTAAAAAAATAAATCATTTGGATTCGAATTATGAAAAATGACGGATTCGTTCCAACGCATCATTTGTCATTGTCTACAAAAAACGAATGACGAAGACGGATCCGTCTTTAAAAAAATAAGGGAATATTTGAACGAGTTCATACTACTTATAAGTTTTGTGGACGACGACTCATGATCATGTTGCCGTGTGTGTGTGTGTGTGGGGGGGGGGGGGCAAATCTGCTGTCTCATTAGCAATCGAAAAGCTTCTACATCAGGCCGTTGCCTCACAAGTGGATGCACCCAATATTTTTTTGTATATAAAATTACAAGGACCAAATGCGATATTTTATAACAGTAGGCAGAGTTAGCGCTGCTTAGATTCAAACCCGCCGCATAAACGGCCAACTAGCTCAGGGTTGGGAAATAAAATAAAAGCTCGAAATCTGTCACAGCGGGAGTTCGCTCTGAGCATATGATCTTCTTAACTTCGTTGGTCTTACCAGTAGTTGAGCGCAACAAATCAATTTAGGTATCAAACGAAATATTGGTTTATTCCGAGTAGCAAATCCAAGTACTGCACCATTGAATTACATTAATTAAGTACACAAAATATTCTCATAGGTATACGAACGTGTACGTTAAACTTCCCAGAAAACTCCTAATTAACTTCCTCCACAAGTATAAAGTCCAAGTCAATAATAATCGATGAAACTGGGACCCTAAAAGAAAACAAAGGTAACCCTCCTTCTTTATGATATAAAATTTACCTACCTCTTATATAAGCTGGATAATCCGAGATGAAGCAGCAATTGTCGATGGAAGGTACAGTACTACAAATTACAGCAGAAACCTAAAGAAGGTACCCTGTAAATCAACGAAATGCACTTTGCGGTACTTACGATAAAAAGGGAAGACGTAAAATGTATAACCTCACTTGGAGCACAGGGCAATACCGTACAAACTAATTACTTCGGAATTCCTAAATTATGAATCCAGTCGTCAAAGATCAATATATTCGGAAGATGGCAATTAAAATTCCATGCATCTTTAGTTTGACATCCTTACCGGTAATAAATTACATCAACCTTTTAGCAAAAGTAGTCAAAGTGCCCATAAATTACAACAGAACTGTCATTTAAATGTTTTAACAAAGCAAAATTGATAAAAAAATAATAAATTGCCCTACATTTAACAGTTCTAGGAAATAATCTTTTAAAAGGAAAAAAACTATCCACTTGGATACAACTAGAAACGCAATACTCGCTTTCTGTTGACACGAAAAGCACCCAACAGAATAATTAAATAATTTGAAAAGAAAATTTGAGTAACAATTTATACCCGTCATTAATTCAGGCGTCTGGGCCAACAATGTCCACATTCACATTGCGTTTACATAGCAATATAGGTCAAAATAAAAGTGGGATTACTATATAGGTAATTTTTCAAAGGTTATCCGAGAGTATGTAATGGGAAGATGACCCTTTCGTTCGTACAAACAGGACGGCTTTCTTTAACGGTTAGTCGCGCATTTAGTGTTTTTTTTAATGTACGATATGTATGTTCCATCATTTTCATGTCATTTTTGTTACAGGGAAATGGATAGCTTTGCAGAAATCAGGAAAGTGAAGGAGATGTCAGTAAAGGAACGTCCATCATGGCACATTAAATGAGATGCGTGTCATTATTGACGGTAAAGTTAAGAGAGCCCCCCGGAAAGGCTTGAAAATGAAGCAAATTCCTCCAAAAAAGAAAAAGAACATAACAAAAGCAACAAATCAGTCTATTGAAGAGACAATTTCGTTTGTAGTAAATGGACATCTAACACCTAAGAAACTTACAAAGAAACGGATGACTTTGATTTCGAAAAATGACATATCCGAAACGACTGCTGCCGTAAAAAATAACCGCGAATCGCGGAAACCGATCACCACCATTAAAACAAAACGCGCGAATGTGAAAGTGAAAACGTTAAAAGGTGCTCCACGTAAGCAGGTTAAAAGAAGCACCCCTGAAAGCACAACTACATCACTGTCAGAACTTAAGATCGCTACTTCTGCGATATTGGCTCAGACTATCGAAAATGATAGTTCCGAAAAGCAGGTTAAAAAGGGAATAAAGCTTAAACAATCGACTAAGACAAAAACGGAATGCCGCAACGTTAAAAAACAGGCAAAAAAGAATATTCCCATTCTTAGAAATTCGCTCAAATCTGAGGAAAATGAAAAGAAATCGAAAGATAAAAAATCTAAAATAATTATACAGAAAGTTAAGAAACTTCCAGCCGTAAAAGTCAAAGCTAGCGTAACGATAAAGCAAAAAGGCAAAGTTGGCAAGTTGAAGCAAACCGTAAACGTTAAACCAAAGAAATCTGCTGTCAGCTCTCATGAGCCTAAACAAGTCAAACAAGACGTTAAACCAATCACCACAAAATTACCAAAAAATAACCCGATTACAGAGGAGGCTCTCTGTCCAAAGTTAGAATTAATAGAGAAGAAGCCGAGAAAATTAAATAAGAAAAAAATTAAGGTCGAATATACTAGCGCAGACGAAACATCGTCGACGTCGGATGAATTTACTTTAGACGCATTACGTCAACATCGCTCTAATGAAAGCGCCATTAAAAGTGTTAGTTCTAAAAAAATCGGAGGCAAGGCGATGGAAACGAATAAGAAAAAAACTCAAAAAGTGAAAATGCTAGCGAAATCTCCGCTTAAGTCTAAAATGACTTTAATTAAAAAAGGCGCCGTCGCTAATAAAAAAACTTGTGCTAAACGTAAAGTGGAACAACGTAATCGGAAGTTGAAATTATACAGCTTCTGGAACGGACCGAAGCGACACCGTGTTGCGTCTCTAAACGCTCTAGCAAAAGTTCACTGTCTCTATGAAAACGAAACGCGCGGCACCCTCATGGATAACGACCACAGTATCAAGTCCGAGCTAATCGATGATACCAACAACGACGAGGAGGATGACGAAATTCTACCAACGAGAACGTTACGTTCGGCCCCAGGTCTGCGAGGCGCCGGAAAACATTGGGAAATGCACGACGACACCTTCTCGAGCTCGGAGGATAACGAGAATTCCTTCGAAAGACCGCCGTCGCCCAAACCGAAAGTTGAAAAGGAGAAGAAGAAGCCTTCCGTCAAACGGAGACGTAACCGTTGCGAACTCATAATGGATTTGAAAGACATGGTCGTGCGTAAACGTATGGCCAGCCTAAACGCGTCTGCAATTTTAGCGGCGAGCTATTCGGTCGAGAAGCGTTCAAGCAAAAGTCCTAAAAGCGAGGTGACCGATACCGAATCCGACGATTCGGAGGATTCGTTCAGTCGACCCTCCGAGGGTAACAAAAAGAAGTGCTTCGACGAGGACGTTAAGAAAGAAGAGGATCGTAAGGTGATCGAGGTTCAGGCGGCGCCGAATAAGAAAGTATCGGTGATTCTAAATCAGGACACCGACGTTACTATAACAGGGGTATACGTAAATAGCACCACTAGATCGACACATCACGAAGGTTACTGTAGTATTGCCGGAATGCAGTATCGAATTTCTGCCAAAAGTCATACACAAACTGCGTCTACGACCGTTGCAACTGAAACCATACTGCAGTCCGCCGCAAATATGGGTCAGGAAAATGTAAGTCATCTCAATTAGTATTTTCTCTTTGCCAATGTTTGCCGAATGGCTTTGGTTACGCCGCACGGTATTATATATTGAGCTTTGGCTCAAGTGTAATTAAAAGTTTGCTTTTAAGGAAAAATGAAACGAAATATCTGAAAATTAAATTGCAACTCAAAGCATCCTGAACTAATGGGTATGTAGTTGCTTTTAATTCCGCCTGGTTTATTTTGTAAAAACATTCATAATTATTGAAAGTTCTTTATGAAAATGTGTGCACGTAACAAGAGATATGTGGCCGATTCTAAGTCACACTATCTATAGGATAACATCCCTAGCTTAGTAGAACAGAGCTCAATCGTTTCGCACCTTTTTTTTTGCTCTAGGATTTGCCCTTACATTCTAGTAACTTTGGAGGGATTTTACTTTGGCCTGATTGGACGACTTTCATATAAAGTTCCACCATATTATGTATACTTACAACAAATTTCGTGGAATTCTCTTGTCCAGCCAAAGAATTGTAGTGGCAGTTTTTTGTGAATTTTCAAAAACTAATTTAAGATTCATGATTTTCCTGTTCAAAAACCCCTAGATACAAAATTTCGTCGGATTCAGAATTTTGGCTCCCAAACAAAACACATAGGCCCTCGGTTTTTTTGGAAAAAGTATACTTGTTTTGATCCCCTATATCACTCAATTTTTTACATACTTATATGTAACACCCTGTATATCATATTGACCCACAAAACGTAGGAGTTGCCGCACAAATCCAAACAAAGCAAGTAATGATTGTGGATTCATGAGTAACGATAATTTATTGATTTTATTAATGCTTTCGATTTTTTCAATATGTTTTTTGTTCGTTTCAGAATACGACGGAAAATGCTCAGCAGTCTTGTAAATCGTATACTCCGCTAAGTGCATTATCAAGCATGCAACCCCCTGGTACTCCGAATCAACACGGTGTACCCCAGCACGTTAATTCGCAACATGTAATTCCTCTACCTACATCACAGCATACGCCTCATACGTCACCCGTCGGACGGCACCATGGATGTACAAGCGCCTTTAGTGCACCTCCGCCTGGGCCATATGGCCCTCCACCTCCGCCTCCTCCTGCACATCACACATCGTCGTCGGCTCCGCCAGGTGATCCCAATTACATACACGGTAAGTACCTACATTGTCCTATTTGAAACTAGTAAAATAGCGAAGTAATTCATGGGACTGATTCTCCTCTTATACAATGTCAGAATTTATAGCGGTATTCACATATTAGTATTTACTGCCCTAGAATAGTACGAAAAGTAATTCGGTCCATTACTAAATTCAATTACCTACTTCTAACAAGTCCGTTATTGTACGCTTAAATGTTTTTAGGAGGAAACTTTTGTCGCAATAACAGCAACCGTAGTAACGTTGGAATCGCGTCAGCTTTTAGCTTCATTTGTTAAAATGTCACTTAATTGCTATAGATCCCGCAACGCAGCCTCCAAAATGACATCAACGAAGCAATTACGTTCAGAATATACCCGAATGTCTCTAATAGAGTAAATAATTACTCGCTGTTGCACACGTGGAAGAAGGACGTAGATAAAATGTTCAATATTGGACATTTCCCATTATGGCTCTTACCTAAAAAAATCACCCACTTTGTAGAACTGTTGAAGTCGATGATAGATTATCATTTTTAACAAACGTTAATCAATTTATTTATACGGAGTGTCCTGCATATTTCGATTAATATTTCAATTATCCTCGCAGTTATCATAAGAGTCGGCTTGAACCGACGTAGAGATCACGTCAAAATAACAATGATTTTAGACTCTCGTTGATGCTTCTGTCAGCTCAAGTCAAAAGACCGTAGTTAGCACCAAACTATTCGTTACTACAAATTGGAATAATGATAAACAATCGAATTCGAAAAATCAAAAGTAGCGTAATTGTGTCCTATTTTGCACTGCAGTGTATCTGAGATGTTTTTAAAGATGGGAACTCTCGGATTTCGCAACCTTTTGCCACTTTTTTGTGAAACTTTTAATACCACAAACAAAATAAATTTAGCTCCGTTTATTTCTGAGATATACAGGGTGCAAACGAAAAGCTTGACTTTTGGGCTGTTCTGATATCTTACCACGCATATAAGATAGAAAAAAGGTAAAAACTGTCGATTTAAAAATTTGAGCCATTAACCAAAAATATAAACTTTAATTTTTACGGTTTTTAAATAGTAGGCCATGGATTCATGGAGATTTTGTTTTGTTGCTAAGGCAGCCAATATTAATCAATATGACTGGCGGTAGAAGCGTGTCATTTCAAAAATTTGAAAAAAACGAGATAAAATGATTTTATTTTATATTTTATTTATTACCTCTCTCTTGTTCTGGGCCCTCAAAAAATATAGGTTTTGATACATCAATCTATTCAGGAAAATGCAAAAAAACTGACGTTAATATATACAGGATATTGCATTTAAAAAAGACGAACTTTGAATCTCAGAAACGTAGGTCCAAAAATTTATTTTTACTACTCCACTGAATTGTACGTAAAAATTTCTAAAATAGGCAGTCGAGATACACTGCAGCCTTAACCAAAATACGACACACGGTACAAATACAGTGGAAAGAAACTTTTTCGGTACAACCAGCAGGCAGTGGATTCGTATTTAGAATTTTCAAACAATTATAAACGTGGTAATTTAACACGAGCTCCAGGTGCCTATTATGTGCAATTGATACGTTTCGAATCAATTTGGTCATTTAGACTGAGCAACGACGAGCATTCCTTGAGCAGGATCTTCTTCCGCTACGAGGGTGTAAATTCATAAGCGAATTTCGTTGAATCATAATTAGAGGGATCCAGTTCTTTCTATTGGACGACTCGAGGTTATTTTTTATACGTCTTATAAAAAAGTAATGCGTATTTTCGCAAAAACAAAAAATCTGTGACCACTTTGTCCGTCCGCCCGTCCGCGTAATTTACCTTAAGAGATATTGTTCTACTTGTTTCGCTTTTATGGTTCGTTATGTTGTCGAGACTTGCGCCATGGAAGGAATTTTTTCTCCGTTTATACACTAATCGTTACTTGATTTTAATCCGTGCGATTAGTTAACCAGGCTAGACCTGAGTTCTCACAAGAAACACCGACCATAATAATAAAAATAATAATAAGTGACATTTATTAGATTACTGGAAGTACAGAAGGAAAAAAAATATATAAACATTCAAATAGATAATAAACTAAATAATTAAAATGAAATGAAGAATGAAATTAATGTTCCGTAATCTAACGGGGCGAAGTTCAGTTCTGTGGTGAGACACCCTAGAACTGCTCTACCACTTAACCCCACCCTAAACTAAGAAAATAAAACAATTAGTGGAATGAACTTAAAAATATGTATATTGAAAGGGAGAGAGAGATAAATAAATCAGTCGTGGTTCTAAATAAAAAAGAAGAAAAGGAAGAGGGGAAGAAAAATAATCACTTGTTTTGCTCGCGTAGAAGTAAATGAAAATAATTTCGATTAAATGCGCCTTTTTCTTTTTATATACGCGGGAATATTGTTATATACACTTGCTATGTTGTATGAAAAAGATCGCTTAAACATTTGCGTTTTATGTAGTGAAGGGGTAATTAATTTGTAATGTCGACTACTAGACCTGAATTTAATGTTTTCATACAGGTAGGTAGGCATCTTAGTAGAGATGATTTTATGAAATAAGGATGCAGAATGTAATAATCTTCTTTTCGACATATGAGTCAATCAATTTCTTTCAACTTGTGACAGATGTGTTCATATGCTTCCTTATTCCAAAAATCAGAGGCATGAGTTTTGCATTTTCTGAATTTTATGTATTTCTGTGTTTTTCAAACAAGGGCCATAGATTTGGTCACAGTAGTTAAACTGCGAAAGAACTAATGTTTCACACAGCATTGCCCTCACTTTACGATTAAGAAACTGTCGATGACCAAATATTAGCTTTAGGTTTATGAATGCTTTCCGGCAAACTTCCAAGATGTGTCTTTTAAATCGCAAATCAGTGTCCAAGTACAATCCCAAGTTTTTAGCACACTCTTTTATTTTTATTATTGAGATGATTATTACTAAAAAAGATTTCGTAAAAAATCAATGTTTTTCATATAGGTACCATAATTTTCGACTTTTTCTGTTTATTAGCGATCGCCTAGATCGTTTATAATCTTGTATTTTTTAAACAATTGAATATTACTTATTTCAATTATGGATTAACTTTTATCGTTGAAAATAGATACGAACTTTTTAATCTTTTTTTATTAATTGGCTCAGATTAAATCTTGAGACGATTATTCCTTTTTAACGATAAAAATTAACTTACGACGAACTAAAGAATAATTATCTATTCAGTTGATTAAGCACACGATTAAATTGTAAAAACTAAGTTCACTAGTATTTAAGTCAAGCATAGGCTTTATTTGGATAAAAAGTCACTAGAAAATTGTAAGGTTCCTTAACACAGATACAGCATTTCCCCTTACGATTCTTAGCCGATTTGTTGAATTAAATAATTCTTGAATCTTGTTTCATTAGTAAAACCACGAATTTTGACGCAAATTTCACTAATAAACTTTTTGGCAGCGGCTCTCCGAGGACCAAAAGTTTCAAATGCGAGAGGTATGAAATCAAAAAGAGTGTCTGAAAAATTATACTTCAATTTTTTATCATTTTCTCGAATTGCCGTCCCAACTTCCATCATGGAATCATAGTGATTCCATCGGGTCTTTTCTTGTCGTTTCTATAACAACCATTTGGTTCACGCAGTGCAGGAATTTCTACCGAAATCAGAGCGCGTTTGATATCATTGATGGTATCATGTCGTGATCTTCGCCCAGTACTCCAGGGCTGAGGTAGGAATTTTTAATTTGTGGCAGAGATGGGGACTTCCTTAGATCAGTTTCGAGCATTCTGTCAGCTACTCCGAATTACGTTTTTCTGCAGTTTTCCTAATTCGTAAGGTATAAATACCGGAATAGTATAAAGACCTTCTGTAGGCAGTAGGGGCACCTCTAAAAAGCATTATGCGTGTTACTCTGTATAATTGGGCGTAAGCCGGTTGAGGGCCTAGAACAAGAGGGACAATAAATAAAAAAAAAAAATCATAATTGAAAAATGTAGAAATCTTTGCAATCGGGTCAGTCGTATCAACCATAATTTTACACATTTTTCCGGCCAAGGCTATAGACGCACTTAACATTAATAATGATGTAAGTAGTTAATTAACAGTAAATGCATGAGGATCATATTCGGAATTTAAAAAAAACGTACCTAAACCTAAAGTGTAATCAGTGCAAGAAACTCTCCCTATCAAACAGAACTTCCCGATATGTTCCGGCGTTATAGGTTGATTCTTTTTTCAATTTAATAACTGAACGGTTCTCAGTAAGTAGCTTCACAGTAGATCTTAGCGATAACCTGAATAATCCACGTGCATTTAATCAATTTGCTAACTGTATACGCTGATTATATCGCAATGAGACAACATAAAAGCCCCATTCACGTATACTACGTTTCGTATAATTTTGCAATACGAAATTTTTTCAATTACTTATTACAGGGGTTTTCTTTTTGAAACATAGTTGCTGTATGCAATGGCGAAATTGTTAATACCCAATAAAACACTGTGCTGAAAATATATGTGTACATAGTACATGCTGCATAAACTGGAAGCTTGCCAGATATGAAAGTTGATAAAGCACATTTTCAGAATCAATCGCAAAACCTTTCCATGCCCTTTTATACGTTTACATACGTAATCCACGAGCGTGCTGCAGGATAAATTTAAAATTAGCTAGTTTTTTAATGTCAAGCCGACATGGTTAAATCGGTTAAAGTACTTCGGCCGGTAATTTATTTGCTGTCTCCAAAAATCTCTGCAGTTTTTATCGATCAGGTGGTATTTCCCAAAGTGCTCGTATTTTCCTATTACGTGAAGCTTTTGGCGGGTAACAAGTTTAACTTATTTGGAATCGGGACGCAGTTAATTTTAGAAAGATGAAAATTGAAGCCCGAAAGCGTCTAATCGATTTATTTTGTGTTGTTAAGTTGTGTTTAGTGTTTTCGGATTTTAAAATAGATGTTTCTATATAATTCTTGTCTGGTAGGGTTAACGAACTTCCCCTTTTCTCTATGATTCTTTGTGTCCAAGATATATTTTACGC